AAAATAAAAACTCCAATAAATTTGACCAAACAAGCTCTTAATTATGGGGTTCAGATCATCAGTGTTGGGCACGGACAATTTTCTTGCACATTAAGTATACCGAGGGTGAAAAGAACACTTTACATGATTGAGATCCATTCATCAAGTAAGAAAAGTCACTTTATTAAAAAACCCCCCAAAGTGTAAGTTGGTTTCCTTTTTCTTCGATGAATTATAAAAGTGGACTTCTTAGGAGAAGTTAATTGACACATGAAAAGCTTGAATAACTAGAGTAATTGGTTAAGGTATAAGGTATTTGTAAAAGGACGCCTTTTCAGTCCTATGATTAAGATTTGAACATTTATTCTTTTTCTTTATCTTTATCTTTTTCTTAACGGCATAAATAATAGAAATTATCAATGTGTAATAAAATCTGTAATTTTATAGGGTGTATGTGTTATTTTTTCCTTTTTTTTTTATAAGTATTTCAATTAATTAATCTGTTCTATTGATAAAAAAAAAACTAGAGAGTACTCCTATTTAGGTGGAGGAATTAATTAAGAGCAATGGAAAAAGGAGTACTCATATGAGCTAAAACATACAACTACCTCTGTTAATATTTAGTTATTATGCCAAAAATTTAAAAAGTTTAATAGTAATTTTTTTCTAATGAAAATAAAAAATTTTAAATTTAAATCACATGACATATGAATATGGTGAGTTAAGAGATAAGGAGAGGATTTACCTCCGTTATGCAATTTTAGATTAAAAAAAAAAAAAAAAAGAAAAAAGAAAAGAAAAGAAAAAGAGTTGACATGATTATTAAATGGAGGTGTGATTATTAATCTCTATAAAAAGACTTGAAAAATGCCAAAGCTATTTGGTTAATAAAAAGATAAATATGAAAGGATTTTTCGATTTTGCATCTATTAAATACCTATCTTCTTTATGCTGATGGAAAATGGAGTTTTGCTAATAATATAAAGAAAAAGGAAAAATCAAGATATTTGATATTAAAAACATCAGAATATTTAATTATAATTACACAATAAATTTAATAATATTAAAATTCACATTATATCTTCCATATTAATAATTATAATTGAATATCTTTTTCTCATACATAATATAATGTAGAAAATGCTCTTTGAAAAAGAATAATCCAATTATTAGTACTAATAATAAGTGAATTAAACAATGGGAATGACAATCTTATCCATTGTGGGTAAGACGAAATAAATACATACTCACACTTGGCGGTAGTAGTACTATATATACCACAAGAATGCTGAAGTGATCCATAAAAGACAAAAATGTTGTACTCTCTATATCCCAGTTGTCATTAAAAAAAATTAAAAATTTTGAGCCATTTTTGTATTTATCTATATATATTATCTTTAAAAAATTAAAAAATAAAATAAAAAATTTTCTGATAAAATAATTAATTAAAATAAATAAATAACAATAAAATTAAAGTAAAAAATATTTATTTATTTTAAAAAATAAAAAAATAATGATTAATTTGAAATAACTTTAAAATAAAAAAAATAACAACTATTTTAAATAATAATAATAATAATAATAAGGTAGGTTTTTAATATTAAGGATCTTGCCCTTAGTAATTGAGTGAAATGTGTAGTGTGCACAATTTTATAATTAGTAAAGAAATATAAAAATACAAACCAAAGAATCTAAGGGTGAAAACAAAAATTTAGGCAGATTACAAGAGAAATCTAACAAACTAAGGACTCGAACGTTCATAAATTTACTAATTAAGAATTGAAACTTTTTGTTCCTATTTTAGGATCCCAGCTTTCAATATTTTATATTTGAGTACTTCCAACTCACCAAATTTATCATACAAGATTTTGTTCAATGAAATGTTGACATGGCGTACCTAACTCCCTTAAACTAGCTCACATTTAATCCCTCTTATTTTAAAATAACTGTTATTTTTAATTTTAAATTTACCTTAAATTAATAATTTTTTTTTAAGATAGACGAATATTTTTTTTGTTTTAACTTTATCATTATTTATTTATTTTGATTAATTACCCTATCACAAAAAATTTTACTTTACTTTTAATTTTTTCTTATTAATAATATATATAAATACATAAATGATTTAAAAATTTTTAATTTAAAAAAAATCAAAAAATAAAGTTAGAATTGAACAGAGGAAATGGTTCCTGAAATGTTAAAAAAGATGCCACATCATCAATGACATCATAGGAAATGCATCAAATTGGAAAAATAAAACAAACTTTTCACACCAAGTCCACAACTCCCAACTAAAAATTAAAAAAAGTTTAGATTTTTTTTTTTAGTGAATATTATTCTTCGAATATAAGGAATCTTCAACTCATGTACAAGTGCAAAATTTAGACTACAACGAGCTATTACAGTAGCCTTCACCCTGCTCTAACACTTAATAAAACATAATCCAGGATTAAAAAGCCAATCCAAAAAATAAAGTTGCCCAGCTTATCCTCGAATTTTTTAGCCAACGGAAAACTTTTTCTTGAAAAGCTTGGATCCTTGATTAGTAAATTTGTGAAAGATTGGAGTCCTTATTTGTTAGATTTCTCCATATTACAAGGAAGGAATGACGATGAACCACTGAGAAAATCCACTGACATGGAGCCGGAAAATTCAGTTAGGACACAAATATTAATATTCAAGGTTTTAGTTTTTAAGAGTATATTCTATGATATTAATTTATGTTTTAAAAAAAATTTATAAAAAAATTTACTTATAATTTTTTTATTGATATAATTTTAACAAAAATTAGAAATAAGTTCATATATTATAATAAAATATAAAATATCATAGTAATAATAATATAACGATTTATTGAAGAATGAATTTAAAAAGGAAAATATGTTTGTTAACAAAATCTTTAAAAAGTTAGAAGAAAAAACACCATAAAATTACATTGTTTTAATAAACTTATTTTGAAAAACATAAAAATAACGTATTTTTAAAGTAGGAACGAGTGCTTTGATTTTAGTAAAATAATGTAATTTTGGGATATTTTCCTTCTAATTTTTTTGAGACCATGTTGATAAACACTAATATTATAAAAAAAATAGAATATTAAAAAATACTAAAATATTTATTTTAGAAAATGAACTCTAATTTTAATTGATTTAACACAAAAAATAATTATAAATTCAATTATGAAACGTAAAAATGTACCTTAATGCTATAAAAAATTTTAAATTATTATATAAAATATTAAGAAAGAAAATTTAAAAAAAATACTAAAGAAGACTATAAATTAAAAATTAATTAAATAAAGAATCAAAGGTTTTTTTTTTGTTGTTGGAGTTTACTAGATAAAGAAATGTTTAAGAACCCCAATTTCTAATTAATTAAATTGTAATAAAGTTCATTTAATTATTTAAAATCATATCCTTATTTTTTGAAAAAATTTTATTTACGTCATAAATATTCTTTCTAGATTTGAAATGATCCTTGAAACTCATACAATAACACAAACTTTTTAATTAACAAATAAAAGTTAGAATACCATATTAAATATTTTTCAAAAGTTTAGGGGCAGCTTCCCCCCTTTCTTTCATTGGCTGCGTCCCTGTTGAAAGTATATTTTTTGATTCAATATATTCAGAAAAATATTTATAAAAAATTATTATTTTTAAATTTAAATTAAAGGCATGAAAACTCATAATTTAAAAATTTTAATAACTAAACCGATAACTATTAGCGGGTGTACTAAACTAGAAGGATATATCAATAATTGTGCATTAAGTGAATAAAATACATTGCTAATAGTTTAAGGAAAAGAACCGTTACGTATAGAAGTTTCTTATAATTTTTTTTGTAAACAATTACTTTTACCCACTTTTTTGACAATCTATATATATTGTTACAAAAATATATAAAGCTGCACGACTTAAATCATTAAAAAAA